CAAAAATAAACATATTATTGCAACTAAATGAAGAACTGCGTAAACTTGAGCAGACGGTGGCTCCGCTTCAACCACTTGGATTGAATATTACAGAGGAAATCCGAGATAGGTTGATTTCTTTGAGGCTCACCCAGCATGAATCGAGATTTTGGAGGACGATAACAGTGACCGTTGGCCACGGTCCATCCTGACAAGGTGCTGAAAGCTGTGCTGAATTGATGTTAGATTCGGAGTGTGATGCAGGCCCATTTATTGATATAAACAGTCCCATGCTTTTTATCGAACGGATGTAACTGACAGAGTACTCTAAGCTCAACAGGAAAGCAGCAGCAGATTGTGAAACGCGGAGCTTTTCCCTACTCCCGGAATGTCTGGCTGAGATAGGAGCCTGGATGAGAAGGCAGAGGCTGAGGCTAAGTCCAGATAAGGAGGAGGTAATTCCAGTTGGCAGCGTAAAGCAAACAGGGGCTTTATCTTCTCTGTATAAACACATTTACTAAAATTATGCATGCAGGCTTAGTAAGGCAGCATGGAAAGGGCTTAGGAGATATCGCATGGACAAATTGTGTGCAATTGTGTGTGCAGGCCTGGAGATGGCACACCTGGATTACGTGTCCGGTCTTACACAATCCTTAAACAAACTGGGAAGATTCTGGTTTTCTTGTAATTTCTTTTCAAAGAATAGGAAAAAAAAATAAGCCCTTCAACTCTACTCTGGTAATAATTACCAGGGCAAAGGTGGATTGCAAAGCCTTGGAGCCCGTAGGGACAGCTCGTCCAGCAACCTGCTCTCTGCCACATCAAAAAGCACCCAGCAGCAGGACCTCCACGTCCTGCTGCTGGTACAACAGCGCTTAGGACAGGCATCCACTGCGGTATTCCATAGCACTAGGAGCTTTTTCATATATCCCATCCCTCTCAGCAATGGTTATACTGTTTTTTCCCCTGTGAAATGCAGAATATTTTTGTCCTTGTTGGCACACAAGGAGAATCCGGAAAGGCATTAGGAAACACCAACCTTCAAGTGGTTTAATCTGCATCCTCAGAGCAAGGGGATGAGTGAAAAGCTCATCACACAGCTTGGGCAGAGGCTTCCTATGTGAGCGGGAAGGAGAGGGAGAGGATGAGAGATGACGCTTGAGAAAACTCCGCATTGAAGGCAGCGTCTAGAGTCCAACTTTATTAGGCTTCAGAGCATGACCCATTTCTTTGATCAAGTCTTTGTCCCTGAAGTGACTGTTTTACAGTGAATAGCTGAAAATAATTCCATGTGCTTTTAGTTTCAAACACGTGTTATATTCACAGGGTCTAGTCTCCAGACAGAGGAGCCCACAGGCTGGTTTAATCAGATCTAGCATCTATTCACTGACAGCAGAAACTCACCATTCCAAAGATACTGTTTTCCTGAATCAGTTTGTTTTGGCATTTCCTGCATGAATGTCATGGGGGAGATTTAAGTAATAAATAGCATCTGTCTTAAATAGAAGACAGGAATGTAAGTAAAGGCATTTAGATTTGCAATTGTACTTCATTGGCAGTGGTCTTGTGATGGAATGGCCTTGTGTGATCTCTTCCAGGAAAGTTTAATTGTTAATGTGAAATCTGTTTTGGTTTCTGACTGCAGTTCCCAGTGGACGAATGTCCTCAATAAGAAAAGATAACATCAGTTGGCCCTTTCTTGGGGAATGATGATAATCAGGTGTCAGATAATCCTGAAATAATGAGTTTCTCCAACACATGTTGAAATACAGGGATTTCATCTCTTCCCTAGTTTGCCTTCTTACTCCCCTGAACTATTTCGTATGTTTTTTCTAGAATAATTTCTTCACCAATGATATAAAAATTTAACACCTAATTGTAGTATGTTCCATTTTACATTTCTAAAAGCCATAAAGTTTTCTGGTATATCAATACTAAACAAGCAGAAGAATTAAAATCCATATATAGGGACTCTACACTGCTGATTCATGGGCTTTATCAATAAAAATAATAATAATAAAAAACCAAGAATTGTTATTGCCTGTGTGAGTTCTGAACTCGGGAATCATTGGACTGAAATGAACATCCTCTCACAATCTGAGTTGCTGTTGTTTTGTCTTCAAACACAAAAACAAAGAATAATGACAGCTTTTTCACTACTATGACAGTGCCTCTGTTGTCTCTGCGTTTTGCCTGTAAAAGCAGTAATTCATGTCACACACGTGAGCAGTACTGTATAGGCCCAAGCCTTGATCTCAGTGGCACAAGTGTTGGTTTAGCTGTTGCATCTCTGGCACTGGAAACATTTGCTGGTGAAGTACAGTCTATACTAAATAAATATATAGACAATGTTTGTGATCATGAGAATGTGAAAAAAAAGTATTAAAGCATGCATTTCTTACATTACTTGATTTTTGTGATTAGATAGTTACCTTATACTATTAGTTTTAAGAAATCAAAGACAAGATAATTAATTGCTAGATGGGATCAGCATATGCCTGCTATGAAGCCAGGGCTCTAAGTAAGGAAGTACAGGTTACAATAACAGGATTCAGCTCAAGTCTAGTCAGAAGGCAAGTAAAGGGGGCATATCCTATGGAGCAAATCATTCAGATAATTATAGCATCGGTTGCTCAGATGCCATGTTGTGTTAAACCAACTTATGCTCTGACAGATGGACTGTAGTCTGATCTCCTGAGGCTGAAAGAGTCAATTTGGAACCCTAAAGTGAAGGTAGCAATTCAGATGTGCTTTGAGCACTGCTAGTGTCTCAAGACGAGAGTTAGGAGTCTAGATTCCCTGTGTGATCAGAGAGCAGTCGATAGGAGCTGGAGTGTAACCGAGCACACAAGTGAGAGCATCTCAGGATGCTGGACTGGAGTGCTGCCTTCAGCCACATCAGCAGACACTGCCAGTCCCAGCCTTGAAAAATGAGCTCTTGCTTCCAGGATCTAATTTAATGCCTATGGAGTAGCTATCATCACCCATGTGAAATCCAAGACAAGACTGGTAAGGTTTGGTGTGGCTATGCACTAAACATGAATTCATTTTGGTATCTGGTTTTAGTTTATTTTGCAAATGGAAATCTCACAATATGGTCTCTTGTACACACATGTCCGTGCAAGGGGTGTACACACAGCTGCACAGACTTCTGAACAGCCTGCATACATTTCATCTTAATTTGTTAGAAATGCTTCTCTTTTACAAGGCTAAATCATTCTGGGCTTGTAAGCAATACTTCAGTGCTTTTATTTGAATAGATGAACAATGCCTTCTTGTTTTCTTACTTTTCAAGTTTCTGAGCATGCTTGCAAAGGAAAGCAAGCATGTAGGGATAGAAGCAAAAGTTTGAGACTTGCAGGCTGTACTGAGAAACCCCTACACAGGTCAGAAAAAGGAAAAATACAGTCATAGATACATGTAACATTTAAAATCTGCGTTAGGAATATGTTAACTTCTTGTTAACTAACTGTGGCTCTTTATTGATGATGTCTAACTAGTAACAAAATTTAATGCTAATCTTGCTTCTAGAAAAACTGCATATCTTACCCATTTAAAAGGCACATTTTAACTTTAAAATGAAAGTGTTGCAGTAAAAAGCAATGTCACTTGATTGAATTAGACATTGTCTGTTGCAAGGAAATTAAGCACAGCTTTATTCTGTAAAGGCTGTTTTCAGAACACAAAGCAACCTCATATTTTCTATTCTGAGGAGCAAAAAAGAAAGTTGACAGAAGAATTGTGACGATTGTTAGAAATGCTGTTTATAGCTTTATAAAAACTGCTCTGTGTTATTTCTGATGTGCTGAATGACTGGGAAGCTTGCATGCTAGTTGTAGATAAAGATCCCCATCTAGGAATACACACAACACGCTGCAACACTGCCCTTGCTGGTTTGTTAAGATGCTGGTCACACAGTGGCAGAAAGATTATTTTGGTGTCATCTTCCCAACTGCACTTATGAGCGTAGAGCTATTAAGCACTGATACAATTATTAAATATTTCTTCTAGTTTTCAATATAAACAGAGCCTTGTACTAATCTCCATTGTGCTTTATGTCTCCTGCATAAAATTAACTGTTCACTTTTGCATCACTTAGGCAAAAGTAAATATAAAAAGAGAATCACATCTCAGCATTCAAGGAGCTATGTGGCTGTCATTTGCGAAAAATTAGTAAGATAAATTCACAGCGTGAAAAAAATAGTTTGGACAAAAGGCATTTTCTAGATGTAAGAAATTACTCTTTACTATTGCTCCAGCTGACATTATCTCCACACAAGTCAGTAGCTGCACAATCTGTAGCTTGCCTCACCACAAGTCATATTTGTGCGTAAATTAATCAGTATTTTAAATAACTAGGTCTTTCATATATGCTGGTTTCCTGTACACCACATTTAGAAGTGTTTATAGTCTGTACTTCTGTTAGGCCTGATTTTCAGAATTAGACATTGCAGTGTCTAATCAATTTCACTCACTCAAAATCAGCTTGTTGTAAGTGTGTTTTAAATTGCCTTTATAAAGTCAGTTTTTGTTCAAACCAGTCAGAGTCTTGCATGACAAAATTGGAAGGCAATTGTTGCTTTGTCTGTTTCTCCATTAGTTGCAATTTGGAAGCACAAGCAGACCAGTAACACTGGCACTGCTGAAGTATTGAGGAATTATGTTTTAATGCTGCACATGTAGAGAGCTCATGCAATTCAATACATCACTTCTACCTCCATTTTCTCTCCTCCTATTTCAGTCACATTGTGAAATTCCCTTTTTTGATGCTAGCTAGAAAGAAGTGAGAATAACACTTAACTCTACTCGCCTTTTTAGCTTTTTACCTCTCACTTAGGCAGGTATGAGGTATTTTAATAAAATGAAATACACTTACATGCCTCATTCCTGTTTTTAGGAGTGCAGGTGACGAGACTGCAGAGTCGTCGTGCTGCCACTGCTGAGGGGTTCCACATAGTCTTCAGCTGCTTGTTTAAGCGGGCCAGAGTGATTGTCTTCATGGTGTTCATTACTGTCATCATGGCCCTTGAGATCTTCAGTTAGTCAAGCACCCGCAGGAGGTTTCCAGAGCCTGGCAACCTATCAGCACAAAGTAGAGAAAAAAGTGCTCTGAATAGACAGCTTCAGGATGGCCAAGGGATCTGCAGACCTGCTTATAACAGAATTTTGAGTGCAGAGGGCATGGCTGGAGAGGGGAAAGCTGATCAAAAAGTTAATTTTCAACTTGCCCCTGGACTGTCTTCTTCATTGGCTCTACCTCTTGTTGGAGGCAGGGCTAGTTGATAATTATTCTACATGTGTTTTCCTGGCCTTTTTCATCTGGCTCCAACTACACCAAGGGGCTGGAGATACCATGCTTTTGTGTGCAAGGAGAGGTCTTATCTCCAGGCTTACATTCTTTGAATTGGAATGCTTGTGTGATAGCTAACAAGCCTGGGATGGCTAACAGTTTGGGGATGGTTAGCAGCTGCAGTTCTCAGGATGGGTGGCTGCTCAAGCTGAAGAGGTTACAGAGATCTAGTAGATACAGGGAGCTTTCCAGGAGAAGAGGAAGGAGAGCAACCCTTTGCAGGCAAGTACTTTAACTCCAAGTGTTATGGGAAACAGAACTGTTGCAGTCTCAAGGTAAAGAATTTGCTCCTCTAAAACATAAAAAAAAAAAAAAATCAGAGAGAAGGTAGGTTCATAGCAGCTAGAAACAGAGATAGAAATAAGGAACCCTCCTTACCCCTCCACTCACTTTAGTCCCACAGGTGGTGGCAATTTGGGTCCATGAGCAGTCCCAAATAAGGGAGCAAACCACATCCAACATCCCCCCAGAGAGTCCAGGCAAAAGCAAAAGGAAGCATGGAGAAGCTACAACATGAATCCAAAATCCATCTAGGAGACAGCCAAATGCAAGCCTAAAGACAGACACACTGATGGACCTTAAGCCCCCAGGCCTGAACTTAAATGAGGCTCTTGGGCCCATGGGCAGGGTGTGGGTAGCTGCACCAGCTGGCACTGGTCAGGGCCATTAAAACCCATTAGTGACCCTGAGCCCTGACATCACAAGAGTTCTATTGGCCCTTTAATCATTTTCATTTTACATGATTATTTTCCTCTGCTAAGTACACTGGAGAGAAAAAAAAAGGGGGGGCAGTAGCATATTTTGAAAACTATGGAATCTGTCAACCACAGGGCAAGCAAAAGTAAAAATACTATTAATGTTCTGCCATTAAAAGTTATTTCCTTCTTAAACCATAAAATTGCAAGTGCAACATTTTTAAGAGTTTTAATGTTGTTTCTTTTTAATTAACTTTAAAAAATGTTGGCGTTTTGAGTTAGGAAGTAATTTACTTGCTGATATTTTCATTAAGCACGTTCATATCTTACATCTCTTATCACAGGGTGTATAATGAGTGCAAGGCTCAGGCACTGGGAATCCTCTTTGGTACCCTCTCGTGGCAGGCTTATCTGTGCTGTTTACTATCCCCAAACAATTTAGGAGATATGTTAATGTTTGTCTAACGTTTTGTACCTCTGCTGCCTGTTTGAGAGGAGCTAAGAACAAGCCATGGTCAGTTAAGGATTCTGCTTACAAAGGAACTGTGATCTCCAACTCCTATTGCTGCTCAAACTGTGTGTGTTTGTGTATCCGGAGCATCATCGTGTACAAGGGAAATCCACTGTCTGCACAGAAACTAGAGAGGTAAAATCCAGAAATCTCTTGCTGTCCCCCTCTATTTAACTTTTGCTGTAAGTGCCTCCAGACAGGATAGAGAGAATCATTATTTGTTTTCTTTCTGATGTTTGCTAGAGGGCTGCCAATATGTACGTTTTTCTCGTTAACTTCAAAGGAGTACTGCTAGTTAGAGGGAGAAAAGGAGCTCATTGATCCACGCAAGGACTCTGCAATTGCCTTCTCAGACCCAGGGAATGAACGTGCCCGTGTGCCTGGGGAAGTGACTGCAGTGCGTGTGGTCACGGTTGGACCAGTCTACGGGATGGGTGCCTACAGCTGGAAAGAACATTCCCATGTTGATGCTGTCTCATTTGCAAGAACGGCCAGTCAAACCCAACAACTCAACCAAAATGTAGTCTTGCAGTTTTACTGCAATTAGGGAGATCCAATTGAAGCGATTTCATAACTAACATTTTCCTCACCTTGTGGTTGTTACGTAACAGTGACAGGATGATCAGTCAAGCAGTAGGAAGCTGCCTGGGCTGGAACTGCTGCTGAAGAATATATGGGAAATCTCTACGGAGCGGCTAAAAATATCACCTAGGGCAGCCTCGCTGAGCAGTGAAGCTACTGCTGTGTGGGCTTCAACACTTGCGTGGATTGCCACCCGCTTCCCATGAGTTACGTGTTCCTTCAGGCTAAAGGAAGCTTTTCTGCCATGTCCAAAATTGCTAAAACACTTGCTAATGCAGCTCGTTTAGCCCCCTAGCAATCCCCACTCCCTCCAATTTCTCAATATTTCTGTTGTGCTGTAGGGTAAAACACAGGATATAATGTTCCAGATGTGCCCTTGGAAGTACTGCATAGGGAGGAAGGGGGATTTTGATTTCCCTTGAGCTGCTGGCCACGCTCTTGCTAACGCAGCCCAGCTATGTTAAGTTTTACATTTAGTGCATTTTACCCCTCACGCCTGAAATAACTGGGCTACACTGCAAATGCTTTTGAATATGTCTCTAGGTGGAATTCAGGTCCAGGACTGACAGATGGGCAAATTCTGCTTAGAATAGGAGCATTAATGGTAGGTTGATGTTACATACAATTTTCTATCTAGATTTTTCGAAAAAAAGAGTCAGAAAAAGGCATATGAAGGTGAGGACTGCACATGGAATGAAAAGGTAGTTCTCAGGCAATCCAGTTTAAAGAAAATATTAAAATCCACTAAAGCTGTTAGCTGTGTTGAGCTCCACTTTGGTAATCCCAGTGAATTAAAAAGTACTGAACATGATAATGGTACCTCACAGGTACATATGGCCTTTGGCAACGTTGGACTAAGCTGGGCAAGCTAACAAATATTGGGCAAATATTTGGATGTGATCATGGATGTGGATCAGAGGCTTAAGGCCAGTGGAAGCAGCCGTGAGTGTGATCCTGGGAAGGTCAGAGCAGGGCAAAGTGCAAATGCACTTTGTTGGGATGGCAGATTTCTGAGAAGGGGAATATCCTCTCCTGCCATCTCCCCGCCAGTGTATACAGGGAAGTGAAACAGTCTCTAAATAAATAAGGGACACTCAGATCATGCCTGACCCTTCTCACCTTATCATCGGTCTAGCAAAAATTACCTCACAAGACCCTGAATTTCGACCAGCCGCATAGGCGGATACGTAACAGTGTTTTCCTTTCTGCTAAGGGGATGCAAATCTGGAGGATCTTCACTGCAATAAATGGAATTTATTCAGCGAAAAAAAAAAAAAAAGAGAGAGACATAAGAAATAAAATTCTTCCTATGGAGTTCCTCTGGCAAATACCATGGAGTTACTGCTATGCCTTGATCACGTCTGTTTTCTTCATGCCTTTGTTTCTATATTCACACGCTCAGCAGTGAGTATAATTATAAATGCCTGTCACTTGTTTAAACAAATGCTTTGTTTGGCAACCTTTGTTTTCCTGCTGCTTCTGCAGCTGCGAAACTGTGTGCACAGTGTGTTAATTTTTTACCTTTGATGCTAGGTAAGTCTTTTTTCTAACAACGGCAAGGAGGAAACCAATGAATGAGATGCCAATCTCTTGTGGGCCAAACAAAACATGTGAAAGCAGTAACTTCCTTGGGAAACAATAGTAAATTAATGCTGATACAAAGGTAAAATAAGCTGCATATTTCCTGGGACCAAATGATTCTTCATAACACAACGGAGACAAGTTTACATGTGTAAAAACTGTGAGGAAGAAATACCTAATAGTGATTATGAAAAAAGGAGAGAGAAAGTAAAACAAATAAAGTATATTTTTATCCAATTTAGGACAACAACCAACAGGGCAACAGGATGCATTTCCTTCTATAAAATTAAAAAATAAAAATAATACATTAGCACTCTGAAGTTCCTATTCATTTTTCTAGGGGGAGGGAAAACAAGAATGGATTTGACCCAAAGCACATAAGTGCTTCAACAAGTTACCATGGATTAAGCCAGAATACACCTTAAAAGTTTCTCAGCTTTTCCTTGGTGTTTGCACATGTGCAGTCTCTTACCCAAGGATAAAGTGAGCTGCTTTACTAAAGGGGGAGTTACAGTGAATTGCTTGACATTTATTGCACAGATATTCAAGGTAAGCACATTCCTGAAAGCTCATAGAGCTTGAGAGTTTTTGTGGAGCAACGAAACACAGGAGACAGTAAATTGCATATTCCAGACCAATGAAATGGTCGTGAATGGTTGTCACCAGCAGGAGGTTGTGCTTTATTTACCCTCTCTTAAAATGCAGTTTTGTTTTTTATTATGCTGCTATCTCTGATCTGTATACAGATTAATTGGGTCCTGCAAGTATGCCCTGGAGTTACTGTGACTGCTGCAGTCCCACTTTATGACAGTATTACAAACAGTGTATGGCAGTTTTCTGTTTTGTGTTGTTTTACCTGCAATGTCATTTGCTGGCCACGCGGAGAAGTCGGGAAGCTCCAAGCCCCAGCAGGTCATGAGCTAATATTCTCCGGGAGGGAATCTACTGATGGGAAAGCAGGGCATCTTCTGCACCGGATTTGGATTATGATGGCAGAGACTTTTACCAGCAGCTCTCCGCAACGCAGAGCGCACTGACGTTTGCATCGTTGTTCTTCTAGCTGGGATCTGGGGGTTGCTTGAGTGCAAGCAGAAACTGCCAAACGCGTTGCAGGGCAAATCTGCGCAGCAAAGCGTGCAATAGCCCTGTGTGAAAAGTCACTTCATAAGTAGTTTAACCTGTGAACTTGCTAATCTGCTTGTGAAGGAAGAGAACACAGTAAGTTAATTAATCTATGGCCTCAGCTGAACAATTACAAATCTGGAAGCCAAAGCAGGGGTTTTCCTGAAGTGCCAGCTGGTAATTCCCAGACTCGTGACAACTCTTTAATACTAAAAGCACCGTTTTGAGCAGTTACTAGTAGCAGTTTCCAAAACAGGCCCTGTGCATGTGCTGCTGCCAACAT